TAACACAGCTCACTTATATTATGTGCCAAACACTGTTCCAGGTACTTCACTGTTTCAACTCAGAGTCCTCTGTTGAATAATTCAGTGATTCCACTGATTCACTGATCAATGACACTCACTGAAAACTGTTAAATGGACACAGAAGTACCCATTCTAGCCCCCATTTTACAGCTGAGAAAACCGAGGCGCAGAGCAGTTAAGTTACATACGCCGCTTGTAAGTAATGGAGCTGGGGTATGAACTCTAGGTCCATGCTTATAACCTTGACCCTATACTGCCTCTCAGAAGACAAGCGGCCCGCGACCTTGGCTGACCGACTGGTAGTCTCGGTCGTGCATTCTTGCACCCAGTCTGAGGTCTCGTTCTGGACACACATGCAGAGTTGTACGGGACACGACGTAGGACACAGAGGATGAGGCCACACAGTTGGAGACAGACAAGATTACAAGTCAGAGCTGCATAGCAAGGAAGAAGCAGAGTGCTGCAGGAGAAGGGAGAGGGAGAATCCTTGGGTCTGGGGTGATGATCCTGCCGTATTTGACTTAGACCTTGACGGGTGCGTCCTAGGCTAAAGGGAACAGGGGCCAGACAGGAGTGGGCGTGCAAAGTGCGAGAGGACACGGCGCATCTGTAGGTCCAGCGTACACTCCCAACTGCATCACAAAAGCACCGTGCATTCTGGAGGGAGCAGTCGCCGTACTGACTAGCCACCCTCCCTCTGCTTGGGTACTAAAGTATTTTTGTGAGATCCAAAAATTAAAGAATGCGCAGCAGTGGCTGGCCAGGGTGGGTGATCCCCGGAGTTGGTGTTCGTGATGTGCTTCCCTGGGTTATAGGCAAATGAGTAAATAGGTCATTTGGAGCCAAGTAGAGGAACACCTCAACCATCAGAAAGTAAGCAAAAAAAGGCCTCACGTACTCAAAATCAAAGTCCCGAAGTCCTTGAGCTCCCGTGTTGAAGAAGCCAGCTGCTGGGGGCAGCCCGGAATTGGGGTTATTGTCCTTTGCTTAGCTGACCGCACTAACGAGCTGCTTCTCTGCATCAGTGAGTAACAGCTTATGACAAAGGGTCTACTTCAAGCAGACGTGTACCAGGTGAGACAGCGGGGCAGGAAACAGGAAGCCATGGGTCACACCGCAGGGCCTGGGTCACAGCAGGCTTGCTCGTGGCCGTCATGAAGCTCTGGAGTCCTTACGTTTGGTTTACTGTTTTACAGAGGGTGGGAAAGTATGGAACATGTTCTGTGAGATGTCCTTCCAAAATGGCTAGAAGGAAAACGTGCATAGAGCCTGCTGGCTGTGCTCTAGAATGAGCTGCTCTTTGCTGGAGCGGGGAAGCGAAGGCATGCCTGTGTGCGCCTCGGCGAGGCACTCGCGTGGCTAAACACACGCTCTCCGCAGCCTGGAGATGCGGTGCTGCGCAGGGACGAGGGGGCGGGGGACACTGCAGGGCCTCCGGCAGTAGACTGAGCTGAAACCTCTCCCCCTGCCCCACAGGAGGGCCACCCGGAGGAGCCCGAGGCAGAGGAACAAGTCCACGAACAGCAGCCCCAGCAGCAGGAAGAGTACTGAACCATCTCGGCAGCTCTCCACACCTCCGTTTGGGTGGGAACTTCTCTTCTGGAGAATTGGAACACGTGTGGCCTCGAGCTCATCAGAAACCAGTTGTTCCCCGTCTGCTGTTACATCAACGCGCCGGCGCCCGTGCCAGCCACTGCGCTCGGTCCCCCTTTCTTTGCCAAGACACACTAGCAGCGCCGTGGGGCAGCCTCCCTGAGACATCACGGGGTCACATACCTTCAACTTCACCACTTGGCTGCTTGAGATTGGTTCTGTTCTTTGCATTTCTTTCCAGAATAACTCTCCCCACCCCCCCACCCCCACCCTCCTTTTTATCCTGGTGTGAAACAATGGTAATTTGATATATGGTATTTATATTGGCATTTCTCAACCCAGTGTCACTAGATATCACACATTTGTGGTGCTTTGATGTTTGCAAGTTTAACCTCTGAACATAAATTTGGTCAAATAATAAATTGGAACAAAGGGAAAGAGATACTTGATATGAAAGCCATAATGACAGTGACTTGTTTCATGGGGAAAAACACACAGTCAGTTTCTCCCTCTACTCACAAACTAAAGGGGAAAAAGGAATCTAAAGTAGGACTTCAGGGCTCAGCAGTGTTCATACATCAGCACGTTAGACAACCACACAGTATGTTAGTTTTGAAAGACATTCACTCAAGGAAAACACCATCTCAACTTGGCCCTCTAACTAACTGCTTGCCACCTCCTACACACACAGGTTCTCATGCTGTTTGCTTTCTCAGGGTCCTCTTTGGTGGGCAGCCAATCGCCCCAAAAGCTGTCATCAGTTGTCTGCAGTCAAAGGGGGTCTGCAGGGGTACAGGTCCTCCTGCCTCCTTGTGTGGGTTTCAGCCCCAGTCCTGTCATCCACGTGAGGGAATTCCTACTAAAGATTGACTTCAGGGTTTGCAGACCTTACAAACAGGAGCATCAGCCCAAGGGAGACTCCTGGTTCTGAAGTCTGGTGTTGACACTGGAATGACAGCACAGAAAAATCTGACTCCCAATGCCGTCTGGAGTTAAGGAATTTCCCCTCTTTAATACCATGGCCCTCCTTGTCACTGACCTGTGCTAAACTGTGGCAACTCATAAACAGAGGAAACATTAATGAATTAAAAGCATTCCTTATTTTTTTAACTAATATTTGCACATTTTCGTAGCATCTTTCCAAATCTTTGCCTCTTTTTTTCCCCCTTTGACAGATCATTCATTTCACTTGGTTTCTAACTTTAGGTTTTCTTTCACTTGTTATTTGACTTAGCAGGTGCAGCAAAAAACAACAAACAAGTGTGCCCACCCCACTCTCCTCTTGACTGAAAAGCTTAAAATAAATTTCTGAATTATGTATCATAAAGCTTTGACATTTCTTTATTAACTGATGAAATACTAATTCTAAATTCTAGCATGGAAGCTTTCCACCAAAAGAAGTCTTCTCAGAATGAATCATTTTGCGGCAAAGTGGTATTTATTGAGTTACATGTGAAAAAGATTGCTTGTATTTTTTGAGGTTATTACAAGACACTGTGCAGAATTGGACAGAGGTTCCGTGGTGTTTGGTTTCCCTTTCTTCTCTCTCCTGCTTGCTCTGCGCTACAGCGGCAGCTCGTTCCTCTCAGGCTGGAAAGCCTGGCTCTCGGCAGTGACGTCCTCCCACACCTGGTTACAGGGAGTGGTTGTGCTATATATACGCAGCATCATGCTTGACAGCGCGTTCCCCCCAGGCCTGTTGCACAAAACTGGGTTTCCTTCTTCTCAAATAGCTCTTGTAAAGAGGCACAATAAGTAATTCCTTGCAGGTGACACTTCAGTGGTTCCCAGGATGTTCTCTGCTTGCCCTGGTCAGGTCAGAGCACCCAGTGCCAGGTGGCTCACCACCTAGACTCCCATCGTGTGGGTGCACATGATTACTGTGTAACGTGCATAAGGCTCACCAGTGACACTCAGGCCCTCCATTCCTCCCCAAATCTCCAACTTTCTCGGCTATAAACCTACTGGCCAGATATCTTGCAAAGATAACTTTCCCCAATCGTCATACTTCCTTCTCCTTCCCGGAGTCTTGGGGCAGACCATTTTTTTTTAGAGAAGAGCTATCTATTTCTCTCCCTGTCCCTATCTGAAATATCTTCCACTGTGTGCATCACATGGGACATCACTGATGCTCTGGGGAGTCTTGACAGCTATGTTTCTTAGTCCCGTTGAGCTGCACCCCAGCTTCTGTGCAGACCATCTCTCATCTCCCAGGGCCGCTCCATTCCCCCTGGTGGCTGTACCCGATCATTCGCTCATCTCAGCATCCAGGGCACGCCTTCCTCCGTGGCCCCGCGTCCAAGAAGCATCCCTTGCTGTGTGCTCTGCTCCTCCCTCTCTGAAGCCAGACTTGGTCCTTAGTCTCCCCTTCCCACCCACCGCGACTGGTTATAGCACTCACACTGCTCCTATCAGGTAGGAAGTGATTGAAGCAGGGGGTAAAGAGAGCCCGTTGTCTTTCTGAGCAGAAAAGCAGAAAAAGACAAAGACACACCCTGACCTGAGAGAAGTAAACTCCAGAAGGGAACCATGAACTCCTCCCTTCCCTGGTGAGTATTTCCATTATTCCGTTAAGGTTTAATATGCATTCAAATTACTTTTACTAAATAGTACACCATAAAGCTTTTGTTATATATTAAATGTAAACTGAAAGGAATGTAAACATATGTATTGTTAATTATAAATATAGATAAGTAATGACATAATAGATGAAAAAGTCTTATCCAGATGTATCACATTCATTTTACATTACCCACCTACTGTCGCATGGTAGAATAGTTTTTTGTCTCTGAATATGTGAATAACTTGACTTGCGTTTATCTTTTTACATATTTAATAAAAAAAAAGTATATGTTAAAATCGGCCTGGATCTATAGATTCTTACATTTTTATGCTAACAGTTTCCTCTTGAGTGAGCCTGTGTCTATGAACAGGCTATTATGTGGAGTCACACGTCGGTCCCACATTTTATCATGAATTACACGGTGGGGGAGTCTTTTTATTGATGGCAAATGTTTTAACGGGAATTACAGGTTAGTATCTGATATCAAATGCAGCAGCTGTAATACCTTTTAAAAACTCTACATAACTTTCTTTTTATCAAAAATAAATAAGAATAAACCATTCCCTTAGGAAACATTCCGCTTGCAAGCGAACAAAGGCCTCGCTCCTGCAGGTCTGCTTGCACCATCTGGACAAGGGCGGGACGAATAGGAAACTGGGAGACGCAGACAGATGTTGTGAAATGAAGCTTTGTGGCAAAATGACCTATGACTGGCAGAGGCTCTTTGATTAAGTGTATTTCCCCCTCTGGTTTGCTGACTTGAACTAACAGTGAGGTTTACAGACACACATTGAATACAAACCTTAAAGGAATAGCTGAGGAAAAGCAAGGTGTGCGAAGTGGCCCAGCGCCCGCCTGCAGGTCCTGCAGACAGGTGACGTCGGTCTGGAAGACTGCCCCGGGGCCTGTGGGCTACTGAGGTTCAGCCAGTCCATCCCCTTTCACCCCGAGGGCTGCCAGCCTTCCTGAACCTGCTTACAAGCACCACCTAGAGGCCACTTTTGTTTCTATATTGACCTTTGGCAACAGTTTTCCATTCACTTGCCTTTAGGCCCTTTTCTTTTAAAAGCAGAGACGCAGGAAAACAACAGCCATTCCCTGGGATGGGCACGCGTGTGTTTCCACTTAATTCATCAAGCCTAGGCTTTTAAACACGACCTTATACGCAGACATTTGTGCACAAGCGTCAAGAATACACATGATTCATCTTACTTAAAAGGCACACGGGTGGGCTCTAAACACACCACAAACGGTTCAGAAGGGGTGAAATAACATGTTGACTCCATTTTATTCAATCTGAGATCATCTATAAAAATTTGAGATTTTCCTACTGGTATAATGGGTAGGCCCACGAGTCCAGAGGGAAGAGTTGGAAAAGATCACGTACTTCCAACTAAATTCGAGTTACAAGATGCCAGTTCTCTAAAACTAACACACAACTTCATTGCTGACCTGTCTCATTTTCTTAGTCTTCCTCTTAACTGCTAGAACACAGCCACTGTGAACCCCCAACTTCTGAGCACGAACACAGTGATGCCAACCAGCACCAGTGTGAGAGCAGAGCGCCTCCCTGGATGTCTAACAACTCGTTTTGCTGAACTGGGAGCTCATAAGAGACATTCGTCTTTCATCGGAAGAGCTCTGGCTTTACTGCTTAACAGAAGGCAAAGCTTAAAATCCACCGAGCCCTGGAGGACCCTCGGGTGGCCCCAGGACTTCAGATCACAAGACTGCCTGGGCAGACCCCTTCCCCAAGCTCTGGCCTGGACCCCACACGGTGTATCGGTAGGACTCACACACAAGATGCATTTGCCGAGGCCCTGCCTCCTCCCGTGTTGGGTTTAGGGCTGTAACAAAACTGGAAGGCGCAGCTGGAGCTAAGTTGTTGAATGCGTCTTTCTCTCTTTCCACTGACAGAGAATGTTGAACCTTTTTCAGCTTGCCAAGTTTTAATTTCTTGAAACAGGTTTCTAGTGGTATTTTGTAACTATTTTATCAAGATGGTATAAATCGCTTTCAAAGGGCAATAGCATATTAATGTACCTTTGAATTCATAATCTTCATTAGAAACTAGTCCAGTACCTAAGTATATTCTTTTTCAGAAAATTTTAAAAAGTTAAGTACACATTTCTTTCTGTGTAGCAAACATCCCTCATTTTCACACGATGGTATTCCTTTCGGTCTTGAAGGTTACCTGTACATTATAACTTTAAAATTTCTTAAGATACATTTGTCTTATTCACTAAAATGTTTTGGTCAAATCTGACAATTTAAATGAGCCTTTAGAAATTAGAGAAGAAATTTTTAAAAAGGTGTGTATGTTCAAATGTTGACTCAACTGTCTCTCCAAGAGAAATAGAGGGAAAAATCACCTAACACAGCCTCTCAATGTAAAACATAACATCCAAGAAAGCTGCTAATACTACCTCAGAAATACTCCAACTTTTAAGCTAAAAAAAAGCAGGGGGTAGGAAGGAGTGTTTTTTCCTCCTCCAATTTAATTCTTTTCAAAGCTGAGCACCAACCAGAGGCACAAGGCAGCAGTCAGTAGCGACTTTGTACTCCTAAAATATCACATCACTAGCCCTCAGTTACTCGGAAGAAAGAGGCATTCTGCACCATACCCGCCTCAGTCCAAAAAAAAGCAAACTGAAGCAGTCTGCATGGTTCTGAAGCAGCATCTTACATGTAAGTGAGGAAACCAGCACCAAGGGGAAGTAGGAAGGAGGGGACGATGAAGCCGCGGCATGTCAGTAGCCTCACACATGCTCTAATGCCTTCTAGACTTTACTAGGACCCAGGGGCAAAAATTACCTCTGAGCTTCCTTATTGCCAATAGAGAGGAAGTAATTACTACTCAGGGTAAATTGCCCATAAGCTGAACACAGTTCAGTTGCTCAGGGGCACAGATACTTAGGGCAGAGAGATCTTTCCTCCTAAGAAATTCAGTGATCACAGCGAATACAGTACCAGTCTAACTGGCCCGTTCCTATTAGTCATAATGCCAAGACACAGCGCAGTAAAAACTCATCTACCAGGAACCAAAACTGTCTGCATGGAAAGAGCTCCCGGGGCTCGGGGCTTCACCCCAGGGCAGAGCAGAGTATCCAGAGGAACAGGGAGACACTGCTCCCCACAGTGTAGGCCGAGGGAGACACTGAAGGACAGGGCAGAGTGTGACCTCCTGTGACCTGACCGGTACTAGAGGGCAGCTCTGGGACCAAATGTTACTGATCAAGACCCAGTTCCCTTCCTAACAGCACATGTGGGTGTGGGGAGCTCTCAAGCTGCCAGCTGAGGAGCCTGGCCAGGACACGTGTCTAAAGAGGAGGCCACACCACCCCTTGTGTAGATGGGAGGAGACCCATGGGCAGGGTCACGGTTTTCCCTGGAAGCATTGTAAGATCTGACTTGTGAGTTTCTGTTTTTTTAATTATCCTTGGCAATTTACTGATAGGACAATTTTCAGTGTAGATTATAAATTTGAAACTGTTGGCAGTTACACACTCCCATAACCCTCCAAGTGATCTTGGAGATAGGAAATACACTGTCTGTCAGTGGACCAAGTCCAACCATAAGTCTGCAGGGAAAAAGGGGATAATATTTTAATAAAAATCTTAACTGTATCTATAAAATGCTTTACAGGTTGCAAAATAGTTTCACCAGTAACCAAGTAGAGGAAAAAGAGAATAAGCTTTGAAAATGCTCTGACCTGGAGTCAAATCCCAGCCACACCACTTCTAGCTGTGATTTTAAGCAAACTGCACGTCGTTTCTTGGCCTCTATTTCCTCATCTGAATATGCAGATTAAACCTCCCCGGCAAAGTTGTTCTGAAGAATAAACAACATGTATAAAGTACCTTACACATAGTAGATATTTAATAAATAGTACCTAGCATTACTAATTTTGGTTTTGCTATCCCCGAGAGGGAGGTAATGTAGAAATTATGCTACCACTGCCCTGGGACTAGACATTTCCATGCTGCCCACGGCTCCCATCACCCCTGCAGGAACAGCCCAACAGCCATACGTTATTCCATGGAATCCTGCCCGCTCCCAGACACAGCTGATGGTCCAGACTCCAGGTCCCCCAGGAGCAATCTGTGGTTTGCTAGTGACCACACAGCCTATGAGCTAGGCCAGTCAGAGAGTCCCCTGCCCTCCCCTCCCTTTCATTTGTACTAAAGACTGAGGACCTTAGCCATGAGAACGAGAGTTTAAAAGGCTGTACAGTGAAGGGAGCCCGGGGGAAGAATCATGCCAACTGATGTTATACGTAAGCAGTTGCTCTGAAACAGAAAGAAGATGGGAGGAGCGAAAGAAGAAAGCAGACACTCAGGAAAGAACCAAGGACCATTAGCTGAAGTCCACAAATATCTGCTTCCTCGAATCCAGAACCACCCACTGAGTTTTTTTTCTCCTGAAATCTGGTTAGTCAGTTTTATTGATGTCACGTGTGTGTGTAATCTTAAATCAGAGGTAACTTAAATGAATTTCTCCCTTGCAGCCTAAGCCACTCTCATGAAGGGAGGCTCTTGAGAGGGAATAACCTGCAAGACTTTGGTCTTTAAGCCAGGACCACCTGTGCACAGCCATGATAGAAACTCCCAGTGGCCCCAGAGCCGCTGAAGAGGCGACAAAGGACGAATGGTGGGTAACCGGGACACAGACTTTCACCGTCTTCAAAGGACCCTGTTCATGGGACCATTTCCTGCTCCATCAAAAGAGAATTCTAAGAAATCCTGTAATTCAGGGCTCTAAAGACATTAAGGGTAATGAAGCAAAGGTTAAAAAGATCTGTTCTGGTTATTTAACAAAATATTTAGATCTGAATAGATCTTGGCTTGCTATGAGGTACAAATGATAAAAATCAAAGTATCCGAGTTTTGTGTTAAAAGAAAAAAAAGGAATTGCTATGACCACCACAACTCAGCCTCCACCAAAAATATAAATAGGAATCAGAATGAGAAAATCATAGTGAAATGTGACGTTTTCTGATTTGGAAACCATTTCAACTAGTACTATTATTTAATGTTTTGCTTGTTTGGCTCTGATACGAGAACATGAAAACATTCCTACACCTCAATAGCTTCTTTGTATTACAAATTAAAATGAGCAGACCATCATTTACATCTTAGTGGAGTTAAGATATGAAACTGGAAACCAAGACTATCTAATGACTTACTCCACTACAATGCCCCTGTCCCCTTCACCGTCAACTTCTGATATTTACAGGCCCACACCAAAATTCAAGAGGAGACGTGCATTAAAAGCATTTTGTTGCAAGCCAAATAGTAAAAGCAGGTAACAGGAAATGTGGCCTCAATACATCTTCAGCTGCCAGATTGTAAAGATTCAAACCAGTTGTAAAGGACCAAAGTTTCCTACATCTTCTCCAGCATTTTCTTCTAACCATGACACTCCCTGAGACCTGCTACGAGGTTCGCTATATTTGATTGGTGAGGGAGGTCCAGCAGGGGACGGTCAGATTTCCCCAGCTTCTCTTGGGATAACTTAGTCCCTTTCCAAAGCTCACTCTCCCGAAACCAGAATAGTCAGATCTGCAATTCTAGGGCTCCCCGGCATTCAAAGTTAGGGTATCCAGTGATTTGATCTTTGCACAGTGCATGTGCCTTAAGGCATGTTCACTGCCAAGTAAGTCAGCTGGTTACATGTCGCTCTCCAATTAGCTGGTTGTCAGACCAGGGCCCTGGTAGCGCTCTGCCTCCTGCCTGCCCCTGTAACCTCACGGCCTTGATCTGGTGTCCTCAGATACCCTGCTGGAGCCTCATGCCTCTCTCTGCTCTGGCTTGCTCCTTCATCTAGTCTGGTACCCTATGCGAACTTTGGTCTGGACGCTGTCATTCAATCTCCTAAGACTCTGTGCCATGCAGCCCAAGTGCCGGGCCAGCCCTGCCCTTCCTCTGAACCCTCCTCTCCAGCTCTAGGAATCCCAGTCTGTTGCAGCTCCAAGCCACTTGCCTGGCAAGTGGAATAGTTTGGACACAGATCAGCTTTAACTATAGGCGTTCTCCAGTAGCGCTGAGCTTCCTGTCACGTCACCTGAGTTCAGCATCTTCCCAAAGAGAAGTAAAGTGAGTCACTGATTCAGTGTGTCTGACAAAAACAGTCACAGACATGCGGGTCCTTGTGATGCTGCTGTTGACCCCTGAATTAACCAAACAAATTAAAATCTGTCATTCATACTGTGATTAATTATAAATTACAGCATAAGCATCACATGATTCAGAGTATATTTTGCCAAATCCTCCATAAGTAAACTTATATAACAATTTGTAATCATTAGCAGGTATAAATGTCAAAAAGCTTAAGTCGCATGATTTAAATTCAAGTTCCCTGCCTCCAGGAACTTTAGTTTTGAGAATCTTCTATATGCAAACCCATATAAACTCCAAGTCTTTTTATAGGATCATCAAATATGAGAAGGGCATCCTGAAATAATTTTTGCCATCCCCAGCACCTGAAGGCCTGAAGCTCTCTTTCCAAAAGACAGGCAGTTACTAAATGTGCAGTGTATACACTGGCTGGATTTGTCAGAGCAAGCTTGGTTCAAGAACTCACACCTCCACTTTGGAAGCGCCTCTGCCAGGGAAACAGCACAAGGGAGGCCTCAAGGTTCTACAGACACACTGGGGAAGGCAACACGGGACGTGAAGATAAGCAGTCTGGTCGCCTGGTCGATACGTCACATGGAGTAAGGCCACCCATAGCGTAAGGAGGGAGAGCAAGGCAGGAGACAGCAAACAGAGCAAAGCTTTCCAAAAGCAATCTTTCTTTGGGGTTTTCTCCACATATGCCCTATAAAGACAAGCAAACAGACCCACTGGAAGACTTTCTGGTCATCACAGAAACCCCTGGACTTCTCATACGCTCTCACCTTTGCCACACAGAGGTATCTGAGCCAAACAGCACCCTTTGAGAACATCAGGACCCTTGCTGTTGAGCACACCCTGGCTTCCCTTCCACCTCTCATCTCCTAGCAACCACTGAACAGGGGACAGGCCAGAAATGCAGACGACAAAGGATGCGCTGCCTCTCAGCTACTTTGCTGTGCCTTGTCCTCGCTGATGCCCCAGGCCCTGCTGGGGACAGTGGTCCCTCTCATGAAAGATGTCTCTCTGGACGTAAGACCCGCATCACGCAGAATTTCACAAAGTCCAGGGTCTTCTTCCAAAGAATCTAAGAAGTTGGAAACTCTGCAACACAGCCAATGAGCTTTCACAGCGGAGTTTCAAACCCAAAACAATCCGAACCAACAACTCTGTCCTCTTGCCTCTCTAGTGCCTTCTCGTTCACCTTTTTTAAACATAAATGGAGATGTCACGCAGAGTCTATGAAAAGCAAGGAACACATGGCAGGATCTGGAGGACGAAACAGACATTTATAAATGAAGATTTGTTATGATTCCACAATGATGATGATAAGGTGTACCAGAGAGATAACAATAGAACTATTTTACTGTCTTATTAGAAAATAATATAGTTCTTGACCAGAAGCACCAAACTGCATTCTGCCACAGTAGTGGTTTTGCTGTAATTAGGTTTGTTATTATAGTCATATATATATATATATATATATATATATATATATATATATATATATATTTAGTACCCGCTAACACAGGTTGTTTGGGGTTTTTTAAAACCAGATGCCCTGGGTGGGCTGAGTATAGCTCAGTGGTAGAGCATATGCTTAGCATGTGCAAGGTCCTAAGTTCAATCCCTAGTACCTCCATTTAAAAAAAATTAAATTAAATTATAAAGAAAGAACAAAAATTAAAAAAAAACGATGCCCAGCATTTCTAATAAACACATGATAGAAACTTTAAATTTCAAAGAAAATGTCAATGCCAAAACAAAAAATGATTTTAAATGTTCCTCCCAGAGTGCTGACTGACGCTACACACCATGGCCAAGTGTGCACATGCAATTACTAGCTGGCTCACTGGTACACAATGGACCAGGTGTACACATGACTCCAGACTGTTCATTGAATCACCAAGCTCTTCAGATACTGTCAGTCCCAAAAGGGCTACATCACATGCACTGATCAAAGCACCCAGAAGTGAAACGGGGACGTGGAAGTCATCAGGACCAACTGCTCCTTCAGTGTATGAGTGTCTTTGTAAGATCCCAGCCATGTAGTCACCCGGCCACATGTAAGAGTCAGGCCTGTCACCTGGCCACCCTGCATCCCAGGAGAGGCCGCCATCCCACCTTTGGACAGCTCTAACTGCTTCCTGATTGGTTGTAACCATCAGAGCAAACAAATCTGTGACTGGTCTGGGGACAGGGATACGTGCTTATTTTCCTCTGTTAACACAAGTCAACAAGAAATCCTGTAACTGAGTGCATCAAAAGAGGGTACAAACATAATTGTGACATGTGTTTAGACTAGTTGAAGTCAATCAGGTCACTGGGCCTCTGAAGAAATCATATCTAAACCATACAGCCAAGCTCACATTACACATCCACGTTATGAAGTACTTTTTCCTCTTAATAAATTTGCCACCAACCTGAAAAAAAAAATTCAGATTGTTGGATCAGCACTAAGAGATAAATGTAGCACTTCGGCCAAAGGAGCTGGGTGTCACTTTGTGTCACAGTCACTGGACGTGCTGGCCGTCCTCTGACCAGCTGACCTAGAGAGGGTAGACACAGAATGGAGTGAAACGGTAATCTCAGAGCTGCTGAAATACTCAGACGGTGTGTGCAATTTTCTGAAACAGTGCACTTTAGGAGAACTAGCTTTGTAGATAGAAAATACAGGCACTGTAAACTTAGAATGTTGAGCGTTAAAAATGACATCCG